AACCGCGCTCCTTCCTTTAACCCTCGACGTCTTCCTAATTAATGCAAGTAGCAACTTGATACTTTTAGCATCTTTGGCGAAAACTTGAGTCTAACGATGCTAAAAGTTTAATTAAAATCGCAAAAAATTACAATTTTTGTCAGCTTTTTAAATATCGGTCTCGCAATGAAGGTTTTTACTGAAGGCGCACTTTCATTAAAAAATTCACATCTTCGAATCCACAGCAAAGAGTAACTGGATATTTTCATCATTTTTGCACGACACTTGGATCTCAATATGTGCAAAGTTTCATAACAATTTCCCGGAATCCTGAGTTTTGCCAGCTTAGGGAATCTAAGTCTCAAAATGGACGTTTCGACCAACCAAGCTCCTTCCTTTAAACATTGGCGTCTTCCAAATTAATGCAAGTATCAATTTGAAACTTTTAGCTCCTTTAGGCGAAAGTTGGCTCTAAGGATGCTGAAAGTTTCACGAATATAGCGAGGATGTTTACGTTTTGCCAGCTTGGTAAATGTCGGAGTCAAAAGTAGTAAACATCGCTGTTGCAATGAATGTTACTATGCGCACGGTCTTTAAAAAATTCACATCTTTGTAACTACTGCAAGTTCAAAATCGGAAATTTTTATCATCTCTGAAAGATTCTTAGCTATGAAGATGCTGAAAGTTTCATAATAATCGTCCGAAATCTTAACTTTTCCCAGCTTAGTGAACATAAGTATCAAAATGGATTTTTGGTCAACTGCGATCTGTCCTTGAACTATTGGAGTCTTCCAAATTGAAGCAAGTAGCAATTTGAAACTTTTACCACCTTTAGAGAACACTTGATTGTAACTATGCTGAAAGTTAACTGAAAATGGCAAAAAAATCCAATTTTTGCTCGCTTGGTAAATGTTGGAGTTAAAATTAGTAAATATCAGTCTGGCAATTAATGATTTCACTCAAACGCGCACTCTCTTTAAAAAAATTCACATCTTTGAAACTATAGAAAAGAATAACTCGAAATTTTCACCTTATTTTTGCAAGACACTTGGCTCTGAATATTCTTAAAGTTTGATAACAAACTCCGGAATTTTGTGTTTTCCCGGATTGGTGAATATAAGTGTCCAACTGAGAGCTTCGACCAACCGCGCCCTTTCCTTTAAACACTGACGCCTTCCAAATTAATGCAAGTAGCAACTTGAAACTTTTGGCATATTTGGCGAATACTTGGGTCTAACGATGCTCAAAGTTTAACTAAAATCGCGAAAAGTTACAATTTTTGTCAGCTTTTCAAATATCGGTCTTGTAATGAAGGTTTTGACTGAAGGCGCATTTTCAATAAAAAATTAACATCTTTGAAACCACAGCAAAGAGTAACTGGATATTTTCCCCATTTTTGCAAGACACTTGGCTCTCAATATGGGCAAAGTTTCATAACAATCACCCGAAATCCTGAGCTTTGCCAGCTTATTGAACAGAAGCCTCAAAATTCACGACTCTACCAACGGCGCTCTTTCCTTTAAACATTCGCGTCTTTCAAACTAATTCAAGTAACAATTTCAAACTTTTTTCATCTTTAGAAGGCATTGGGTGCGAAAGATGCGAAAAGTTCATAAAAATCGCCCGAGATCCTGAGCTTTGCCTCAAAATAGATGGCATTATTCAACTGCATTCCCCATTCAAAAATTCACATCTTCCAAACTAAGGCACGTAGCATTTTGGGACTTTCACAACCTTGCCACCACACTCAACTCTACAAATTGTCCCTGTAATCGCCCAAAAAGTTTCACTTTTTCGGCATCAACTTTCCAGCTTGAATTGATTGGAATTTTGCGCGTCTCGTTCTTCTTTCGTCTATTTAAGTAAATAACCAACCGATAAAAGACAATACGTTCTCAAAGTACACTGAAACTGTCTGAAAAAACAACTCAAAGCAAACTGGAGGGCTTCTGAAAAGTCCAATTAGCAAAACATGATGCGACATTTGATGGATGTTGAGGAACAGTTAATGAATCCAAACGTCTCCAGCCTTGAACCAAAGTGCTCCATCTGCTCTATTCTTGCAACTGGCTTGATTGAGGCCAAACCCCCATAGGTCATTAGCGTGCTTTGCATCCATTAACATTAATAGATTAATTACGTTTTTACGGTACGTGCGTTTGATGTTTTAGTTGTTGTCACTGGTTTAATACTGCCCAGATGTGCGCGTTCCAAGAATAGCGTCCTTTTGCGACCTATTATAGTGGCCATTAATCTTCAGAAACAGTCAAGTGATTCACTTCGGAAAACACACTGTCTAGTTCGCAAAAAGATCGATTTCACACAAAAGGAAGCGTTAAACAAGCAGTGGTGGCAGAAACGGAATTAATTCTGGTTTGCAAACTTGCAGACACTTCCGATAAGGCCAACAGTTAAGGTCAGCTTTCCGCCAACCTTATGGTGATTTCTTCCGAGTCACGCTCGTTCTTTTCGGAAAAGCCGTCTACAGTTGCATTGAACTGAATCACCCAAAACCACTGAGCAAACAGGCGAAAAACGATTGATTTTTAATCAGCATGGCTAACCGATAATGAAATCTATACGAGGAATGACCTGGTGAAATATTGGTAAAAATCAGCTGGTTAGGAAATCCCTGTTATATAAAAAAATCCGCTTCATGACTAATGAACTAATCTGTATGTTTATCGGGTATATGGCTGATAAGAGATTACTAAGGAAGAATGCGAATAATTGCCTTCATTTTGCGTCCAGTGAACAATCGCGGAGTCGATTTGCTTTTGAGAATTCCGGAAAAAGCTGTTAGGGAAATGTTGAAAGTGAAAAGAGGTTTAGGTTTTTCAAGTCAATTTTTAACATTCCGGGAAAATTTGCTATGATTCGGGCGAATTTATCCAAAACCTTTTCACAAGAGTTTCACATCTGGGTTTTGAAATTTGGGGATCAAAACAATACAATAATTATTATTTTTTTTTCACGCTGAAAACATTCAAAAATGTACTTTTACATTTGGGTTTTTTCACCTTAATCTCGTCTCAATAAGCCGAAAACCCACTTGAAATTTTTTCTTGAGCCAAAGTAAAAAGTGTTAAATTTGGTAAAACTGTAAATACTGCCTATCCATTTTTAACATTTTTGATATTTCCCAAAGCAAAACTGCGGCCCAATTTATAAAAAAAATTGAGTTTAAAGCAGAAAAGCTTTGCAAAATTTTTGAACCCAAATCGAAGATTCACACGTTTTCA